ACTGTTGGTATCTCTCGTAGCACCTTGTTTATTTATAAAAAGCACTTAGTCCAATTGTTAACAGTTTAACGCTAGTGTCTGTCTGTTCTTTAGGAAGAATGCCACTTCTCTGTTTGTGATGTTTGCTTCTGTTAGGGTGACACTCCGCGTCTATCTGCTCCCTCCTCAGTCCTCCCTTGAGAGGTGAAATGACTTAGCTAATTGGTGAGCTGGCAGGAGCAGTTGGGCATGGGGTCCTTTCTCTTTGAGAGCCAGCCTGCCCGCAGACAGCAGACGTTCTTCACGCTGCCCCCTGCACTAAGTACGGAGTCAGGTTCTCCAAGAGCACACACAGGCCTGTGAGGCTGCCCTGTGCTTTACAGTTGAGCCCCATTGGAACTGAGTGGGGCATATCATCTGGGATGTTAAATATCCTGACCCACCTCAACTCATCTGTACCTGGTTCAGTATAGATAAACTTACCTAATTCTGGGATTTTTCTTTTTTAATTAGGAAGTCAATTTGCTTGCTAATTAAAGTCATAGCGTCCAACTTAGTCTCTTAATTTGGTCTCCTATCTGCTTCATTCTTTTGTCTTAATTCTAAAATAACTCAGAACCTGGCAAAGAGCGTTGCTCTTAATTGACCTCCCTCAAACCCACAATATCTGCTGCATGGGCTGTGAATATAAAGTATAAAATAGAAGAGTCGAATTTGGGGATCAAAATAAACATGATATATGTATACTTATGTACACACCCCCACCCCCAGACCAACCTAACCAATTGCCATTGAGTTGATTCCAACCCATGGGGACCTGGTGTCTATCAGGGTAGACCTGTGCTCCACAGGGTTTTCAATAATGGCTGTGCTGTAATCTTTTGGAAATAAAAATATCAGTCCTTGGAGTTGCAGAGAACACGATGGTGCCCTAAGCACTGAGCGTGCACAGTGGAAGAGAAGCTGGTGCTGGCCTCTGTGCTGAAGAAGTCTCAAGGAAGAAGGCTGGCCCGAGCCACCTGTGCTATGGGTGAGTGAGGGGGCAGCTTGGGAGCAGGGACATTTGGATATTTCTTGAAGACCAAGTGGATGCTGTTGAAGGAGCTGACTCATGTTGGTGGAGTCAGGCTGGAGGTTTATCCTTGGAAGCAGAGCTGAAGGTGGGATGGAAGCCAGGGCACATGCCCTATGTCAGGGGAAGATGTAGTGCTGAGGTACCCAGAGGGTCCCCAGAGGCTCCCAAATGCTGTGATGGGGGAGCAACAGGGAACCTGCCATGACAGAGGACCCCTAATAGTAAGGAGGGACTCCAGAGGGTCCTGGCTAAGGAAAAGAACTTTGTTCTCTGTTTGATCCCTTCCTCTAGCTTCCTTTCCCATCCCAAAATGAGCCAAAAAGAGGCATGCTGGGACAGAGATGTGCAGTGGGAAGGAAGCAGGGAGAGTAAAGGATGAAGCCCGCTACTTCTATCCCTGCTCAAGCCAGAACCAGCAGAAACAGAGAGCTGGGTGTGCAATGTAGGACCAACGCTTTGATCAGAATTTTGATTAGACTGGCCTGGACTTTATATAAAGAAGTGACTGAAAAGCTTCAAAGTCTTCTCCAGATATTGACAAGGGGTGGGGAAGGAAGGGCAGACATAGTACCCAAAGGAATGATCGGAGAAACACAAACCCCTTTCCTGATTGTGGCCTACTGAGGCCAACCTGTTGGACTGCATTGCTGTTGGATCCATAGGATTAAGTAATCTGTTTTGAAAGTCTGCTGTGTGCCAGACTCTGGTGTAAAATTATGGATAAGATCAGATCCCATACTGCACAGGTCCTCCCCCCAAGAAGCTGGCTGTGGGAGAGAAATTGTAGGAAGATGGTCTAAATGTGACTGAAACACTGCAACTCCTTTGAAAACATTATTTAGTATAGGGTTGGTAGACAATGTTCCTATAATTGTATCTGTAAAATTTGAATTCCCAGGTGTATAGTAGAGCTGACAAGGGGCAAGGCTTTAGTCTCTTCTTGCTCACAGCCAGCTTCCTAGAGGGATCAGGTAGTTGAACCTGTGGGCTGGGGACCACAGTCACAGGGACATCAAGCTCAATTGGCATAACATACTACGCAAAACTTTGTTCCATCTCCTACTTTGGTGAGTAGCGACTGGGATCTTAAAAGCTTGCAAGCAGCCATCTAGAGGCAACAATGGGTCTTTCCTCGTCCAGAGCAAAGAAGAATGAAGGAAACCAAAGGTCATGGAAACAATTAGTCCTAGAGACTGGTACATCATGCGATTCACAGCCTATATGACTATGAGACCAGAAGAACTAGATGGTGCCCGGCTACTACTGTCAAGCACTTGAAGGGGATCTATGTAGGAGATCCTGGATAGACAGGGAGAACAATGTGGAACAAAACTCAAACTCATTTGAAAAAAAAAAGGGGGGGGGACCAGTTTTGCTGGTCTGATAGAGCCTGGTGGAACAACTGAGACAATGGCCCCTAGCTGCCCTTCAGGTCTGGAATTGAACCTACACCTGTGGCTTCTGGCCAAAAAAATACAGGCATAGGAGTTGAACATGTACCTGAGGTAGATACAGTCCCTTGGAGAGAACAATCATGGGAGAAAGAAGAGCTGTTTGTGCACAGGGAGACAACTCAGGGGGCAGGAGTACATGGAGGAATGGGCACAGGGAAGAAGTAGCTATCGGGAGGAAGTAGGAGGGGAGCTGTTGCATTGTGGTAAACTGGTCAATGTCATGAGACAAAGTATATGTGAACTGTTGTATGGAAAGTGAATTTACTCTGTAAATTTTCACCCAAATCACAATTAAAAAAAAAAAAAAAAACCACATTATTCAGAAATCTTGGTATCAAGTCTTTGTTGTTGTTGTTGTTGTTGTTGTTATTTGCTGGTTTTTCTTATAAGCAAAAGTGGAGATGAATGGACACCCTAGTAGAAGGCTCTGGTTTCATTAGGGCATGTTACTTGACTACCTAGTAGTCCCTGGGTGGTGCAAATGGTTAACTCTCTTGGCTGCTAACCGAAAGGTTGGAGGTTCGAGAAGAAAGGCCTGGTGATCTACTTCCAAAATAACCAGCTGTTGGAAACGCTATAGAGTGTCGTTCTACTGTAACACACACAGGGTCTCCATGAGTTGGAGTTGACTCAATGGCAACCGATGGGAATGGCAGTTGAGTACTTGGGACTCAAGTCACATGACCTAGTGGACTTGGGACTTGGATTAAGGATGGCAACAACTTACAATAAGATTTAGGCCAGATATACTAAAGCAATTTCATAGAAATTTAAAAATGCTAAAATAGTTTCTAAGAAAACTGTAAGTTCAAAGTGTATTTTCCAGGTAAACTGGGAAATTTATTTGCCTAGTTTGCTCAAATACTGGCTTTTAGGATATTGTTTTAAAAAATCATTTTTAGCAAGAGCGCTAGAAGCCTAATTGAGGCATAACATCTCTGTGTTAATGGTGCAGGGCATGTAATGGATTTCTTCCTCTGCCTAAGTTTTCAGGGATAAATCTTGTGATCCAGCAAGGAACAACACGCTGTTGTATCCACAGTAAGGGGATTAACGGTCTCGTGCTTGTAAAATAGCAGGCTGGCTCCTATTG